GAGAGCAACAACCACTTGGGTCCCAGGTCCCTGCCTTCCGCCCTGAGAGGTCCCCTGGTGGCTGAGTGGGCCTATGCGCCTGGATATACTGGGGCAGTGGGCGGGTGCTGTGGTGGGGGTAGGGTGCAGAGCCAAGGGGGAAACACCTTTCCCTCCTGGAGCATTTGTTTAAAACCAACTTCACTCCATGTGTTTCATGCAAATTAACATCCCGTGGGGGCCATTCCGTTAATCGATTCCGTAGGAGTCACTGGGTGGCCCAACTTGCTGGAGCAGGACCCACCCACTGAAGATGGGCCTGCCCATCTGCTTCTGTCACAGCCTAAAGAGACGCTGGAGCAAGTGACTCAGGTCTACTGCTTGCCTGGGGTCGCCCGGCACCAGAACCCTCCTCCCAGGGCAGCCAGCCCCACCATTCATTCAGTGCCCGGCCATCCAGACCAAGGCAGTTGTGATCAGGAAAGGAAGGGGCCTTAATGGTGTCGTGGGTTAGGCGCTGGGCTGCTAACTGCAAGGTCTTCAGTTCAAGCCCACCGGCTGCTCTGAGGGAGAAAGATGCCGTTGGGAAACTCTGTTGCTGTGGAGTTGATTCTCCCTCATAGACACCCTGTAGGTCAGAGCAGGACTGTTGGGGCTGAAAGCATTACCAGCGCAGAGATGCCCAGAGATTCCGTGTCTCTTCCACGGAACACTTAACCACCGAGCCACCAGGATCCCGTGGCAATAGGAAGGGAGGGCTTCTTTTTCTGGGGCCCAGATACCAGAGAGTGTGCCCCCCGGCCACGCTCATCCCTTCACCCCCACGCTATGACTCTGGGAAAGACTGGGCACCCCAAACATCCTGTCCACAAAGCCCCCATTAGCCTTCGGTCCCCACTGTAGTCCTGACAGGTCTGACCCCTCCTGTGTTTAAGGCTTCTCAGAGCCTGAGTGACATCATTGGATCTTCCCCAAGCCAAACACCGTCCCTTCCCCCACTCATTCCACAGGGCCGAGATATATCCCCCCACTGCCCTCTCCAGAGGACCACCGTCTCGCCTGCTCCCTCCCACCCACCTCTGTTGATCCAGAAACAGGAAAGCCAGGTGTGTCCCTCAAGTGGAGCTCACCACCCTGCCGCCCGCTAGGCCCAGATCCGAGCAGGCGGTCAAGCCGAGCTGAGTGCTGTTCTTGACTTCGGCGCCTTGCTCAGCCCTTCTCTGCACCCCACAAGCCCCCAGAGTAGTCCTCTCCCTTGCGGGTCATCTCAAATCGTAACTGGGACAAGCGGCTTCCCTCCATAGCCCAACCTTCTCCCTGCCCCAGAAAATCTTTCTGAACGACACGTCTGATTGGGTCCACCCCCTGTTTAACAAACGGCCCCACTGAGTTTGACATACTTTGGACATGCTATCAGGAGAGACCAGTCTCTGGAGAAGGCCATCGTGTTTGGCCAAGTGCAGGGCCAGCAGAGAAGGCGCTCAAGGAGATGACCAGACACAGTGGCTGCAACAATGAGCTCGAGCCCACGGAACCGTGGTGAGGATGGCGCAGGACGCGCGGTGTTTCACTCTGTTGTGTATGAGGCCACGATCTCAATGGCACCTCACACCAACAACAACATTTGGAGTTTCCAAGCCTGTACCTTTTCAAATAATATTTTCATTGGCATATTTTACTCATTTCAATATATCCCTTCCCTTCTCATACAGTTGTGTTGTTCAATCCCATCCAGTGGGGCAATACAATCATCAAAGCTATCAACTCCCCGCTGCCCCCTTTACCCCCCCACTTCCCGTACCCTCAGGGAACCCTTACTCCTGTCAGTATCTTGACGGCCATGTGCTGAGCTGTCTTAAAAGACTGTCATCTTTATGGAAACAGATCGCCTCATCTGTCTCCTACAGAGTGGCTGGTGGGTTTGAACTGCTGTCCTTTGGGTTAGCAGCTGAACACTTTAACTAGGGCATCACCAAGGCTCCACCTGAGGCTAAAACCCAGAATCCTCACGCTGGGCCAGACTCATCCCTGGCTGGCTTCCTCAGAGCACTGTCCTCCCCACATCCTGTTCTAGGCGCCCAGCCCTCAAATGCTGCTCCGTGCATGCTGGTGGCACCCTCTCCCCTTTCCAGCCTCCCTGGGACCGTCCCCAGCAGGCTCCTTCCCCTTTCTAACCAGCCAGCCCTGCTGCCCCCTGCTAAGGGGACTGTGCCTCACAAGACCACGGGCTCCCTGTGTGTGTGAAGCTGCTGTCTGACTCTCCTCGGCATCCAGGCCCGTGGCCAAGATCTGCACTAGCTGGTTGTTGGTTGTTGCCCTCAAGGGGGCTCAGCTTCCTGGCATGACCATGCTCCCCAGCATGGGTGAAGTGGCATGGAATGGTGCCCTGTTCCGCACCAGCTCCATGATCGCTGGCAGATTTGAGTGTTGCGGGGACTCTCAGGTAGGGCCAGGGGTCTTGTCCTTGCGGCCTGTATTGGGCTGCTTTCTGTTGTGACCCATTGGGTTTCCCTTGGCCAATTTGCCAAAGTGGATCACCAGGCTTTTCTTCCTAGTCTGGAGGCTCCGTGGACACCTGTCCATCCTAGGTGACCCAGGGTAGAACTTCCAGCAGCACACAGTCCCCACGCCATCCCTTCAGTGTTACGTAACCGAGACACAGGAGGACTGACTTCATGCTTGCCTGCAGCATCCACAAGAACAATCTTTTACTTTATTTTTTAAATCAGAAACATTTAAGTGAAGTTGCGTGTGTAGAGAGGTGTGTCAAGTCTTCCGATGGAAAAATAAGCTAAAAATAGCCTCCTAATCATAAAATCAATTTAGAGAGTTGTTGAGTTCTAAAGGGAGGTAACGTTAAGCCGACTTCCCCAGGTTCACATTTGCATCAAATTTAGCTACTTATGAGGCAGGCTATTATTAAAAACTCAGGTGAGCTGACAGTTTTCCTCAGGACCATTCACAAACCCCAGTCCCGATGAGCATCCCAAACATTCCCACCTGGCAGCATACCAGGAAGGGTTGTGAAGTCCTGGCCCTTTGGAAGAGGAGCTGTGTGGCTATTTGTCTTTGAAATTTGTTGTCATTCATTGTGTAGCTCCAGATCTTTTATCAAAAGATCCGTTTTCTCAATCCTCTGTTGGGTTTGTTGGGGGCAGGGACAGGCCAGTCTCTTCCGACTCATCGTGGCCCGTGGCCCACAGAATGACACACCGCCCACTCCTGGGCCACCCGCACGATTATCCTTCTGCTTGAGCC